TTTGAGGACTAATTTATCCAACAATGTCCTCCCAGCATATTACAGTAACTCTTGAGTAATATTTAAAAATAAAAAGTCATTTTTTAAACATGTTTCCCAGGCGGTTCATTCCACCGTGGCGACCCTTGATTAATAAAGGGACTAAGCCGAAAAGAAAAGGAAGGAATGAATGTTTCCCAGTGATGGGTTGCAGCTGGGAGGGCATGCACTGCATAAAAACACATGCTGGTTTCCAGCTCGAGGTCCTTTGCCAACCCTACCCCCTCTCATTGCTCTCAATCCCTACCTGTCTGTAACCTTCACTGTCCTATCCAATTTAAAGGTGAAAAACCAGTAAAAAAAAAAAAAACATGTGCTGGATAAGTTGGCGGTTCATTCTGCTGTGGCGAGCCCTGATTAATAAAGGGACTAAGCTGAAAAGAAAATGACTGACTGAACATTAAACATTCCACACTTCCTCTGCTCCTTCAACATTACAGCTTTGCATTGGAACTCAGAGACAGCAGTGCTTGCTAACACTGTCCTGATTTACCATCTGATTCATTTCGAAGTTAACCAGAGCTGTTTAAAGAGAAAACAGCCTAAAAATGTCATTATTCATATTAACAACAGAGCGGGGCAGAGTATGTCAAATACTGTGTGAGACTATTTGGCTGTTGCTAATAATTGGTGGTTGACAGTAATCACACACTCATGCACACATCATAACATCTGAGCATGCGTCATTTGGGCTGCTGCTTACCTTCGTATTGTGCTGTAAACAAGCAATCCATGATAGCCGGCTCCTTCCACCGTAGATTAGGCAAGGGATGATGACTGTTTTCAAGGTATTTTCAGGGTTTGGAATAGTCAAGGTTTTAAAACCGCTTATCTGTAGTAACAATCCTGAGGTATGAGTATGATTTTTTTTTTATTTTTTTAGGACAACAGTATCTCCAGCAGAAAAAAAAATCTGTTTTTGAAACAAATGAAGGCAGCAAAATTCAATAATTCATTTATCCTGACACATTTACTGCGCCAAAATATTTTAATGTTTCTCAAAATAAAATTTATTGTGCTCAAACGGGAAAAAAGTAATAAAAAGAATATAGAGCAGTAATCACAATACCGTCATACAGTGTAATTTTTATCCAAGGTTATCATACCATCAGAATCTTATACCAGCCCATACCTACCGTTGACACAATAATTAATGAAATCAAATTAATGTGCAGCTTTACATCTTCAAAATCTCATCCATTATCGTAGGAAAAACTTGAGTGTAAATCTGCCCAATCTGGCAAGCTTAGATTAACGTAACCCTGGGTGCCCCGTTTTGTTTGGGGTCTGTGATGCAATCGAGGATGTAGGCTATTTCTTAATAAACTATAAACAAATCTTTACTGCTGAAAATGCTGAGCTCCACACAATCCATTTATGTTGCGGAAACATGAAGGAATTAAGTCAACTTATTAGCTTTTATAAATGTAAGTGGATTGAACCTGAAACAATTAAGTTATTCCTGCAAAAACCTCAATAATTGAGTCGTTTCAGCCCATTTGAAATAAGTAGTTTGAACAAACTGCGAACATATTTTTTTTAAGGGGGAAAAAAACTAAATTAGTGGCTTTTCAAATCTTCTGCATGAATTATCGACGTTTGGTGCATATCTTACAACGATATTCTCTAAATTCACACAAAAATAAATTATATATAAAGCGCAAAAATAATAGTACAGTTTGTAAAATATACTGTAAAATTTGCTACAAATGCCAATCAAAACTGTACTGTGCCAAAAGGAAGCCCTATGTTAACAGTATCCAGAAGTGCAGTTGAGTCTCTTTGCTGAATTTGCCGTGATAATCGTCATTCTAATCTTCTGCTTAAATAATTATCAACGTTATTTGGTGCATATCTTACAGTGATATTTTCTAAATTCACACACAAATTAATAATATATAAACATCAAACATAATAGTACAATTTGTAAAATATAATATAAAATTTCCCACAAACGCCAGTCAAAACTGTCAAAACAAGGAAGCCCTATGTTAACAGTGTCCAAAAGTGCAGTGATAATCGTCATTGTAATGTTCTGCTTAAATAATTATCGATGTTGTTTGCTGCATATCATACAATGATAATTTCTAAATTCACACACAAATAAAATCACCGTATAAACAGCAAACATAATAGCGGTACTAATAATAACAGTCAATAAAACTGAGAACAATATCGTATTGTCTTACGTCGTCAATGTCGAAGGTCTTGAACATGGTATTGACGTATGCGTTCGATTTCTCGGACAGATTCTTGAGGCCGAAGAACTTCTTGAACTCGTAGAAGGTGAGCTGGCCGGACGGACACTCGGTCATGAACTTGCGGTACCACTGGTGGCATTTGCAGGCGCTGAGCTCGGTGGCGGACATGCTGGAGGAGTTCCCCATGCTGAGGAGCGTCAGGACGGTGCACGGCTCGCTCTCACACTGCAGATCAGATCAGATCAGCCAGCGGGACGGCACTCGGCGGGACAGGACGAGCCTCTGTCCCGGCCAATTAGCACTGACGTCACCCTCAGGGCTGAACTTTCCGCTCTGGAAATTACAGTGAATTACCTGCTGCTTACAGAGAATCAAGCCGAGTGCAGACCTGACCCACTGACCCCAGATCACGACCTCTGTCTCCTCTACCAGACTGACTCACTGCTTTATCTATCTATCTATCTATCTATCTATCTATCTATCTATCTATCTATCTATCTATCTATCTATCTATCTATCTATCTATCTATCTATCTATCTATCCATCTATACATACATCTATCTATCCATCTATCTATCTATACATACATCTATCTATCTATACATCTATCTATCTATACATCTATCTATCTATACATCTATCTATCTATCTATCTATCTATCTATCTATCTATCTATCTATCTATCTATCTATCTATCTATCTATCTATCTATCCATCTATCCATACATCTATC